GTCCAACCTCTTCTGGTCCTGACTTCTTCTCTCTCGTCATAAGGAACTTCCCGAGAACGGCAGTAGGAAACAAGGGAGAATACCCAGAGACATAGCTGCTATCGTGTCAAATCCTCTCCTCCCTTGACTCTCCTGCCCCCCCACTCCTCTTCTCTCCTCATCTGCCTCTTTTCTCCGTCGATTCCTCCTCCCTCCTCCTCCTCCTCTTCCCTTTTTCTCTCTAACTCGACCTACACCCACCGTCTTTCTCTCTCTTGCCCCCACCTCCCCCCCCACTTTCTCCTCCGCTCGTTCTCCCGCCCCCTCCCTCCACTTCCTACCCGGCGCTCTGCAGCTGCAGCTCGTCGTTGGCCCACCCCTGGAGAGTCGCACGAAAATATTCGCAGCCCGGGCCGAGGGGGCCGAGGGCAGCGAAGGGTCTGCGGTCGAAGTAGACGCTGCTGCCGTCGCAGTACCACTTGCCCTTGGTGAAAGGGTCACCCCCGTACTCCACCAGCCCGTCGTCTGCCGAAGAAAACGCGACCCTGAAGTCTGCAAAGAGATGGTGATACACTCGCTTCCTCCTCTCTACTGCTCCAACTTCCCTTCCCCTTCCTCTCCCTCCCCTTCCTCTCCCTCCCCTTCCTCTCTCCTCCTCCCCTTTCTTGCTGCTGCTCCTACCCGACGGAACGTAGTTGCCGGTGAACCAGTTCCCGCTCTTCTCCACCTGCGCAAGATGCTCTTTAGACGAGAGAATGAAAGAGGAGAAGGGAGGAGGGTATCACTTGAATCCTCCACACTGACTTCTCGAAATCTTCGGCTGCGAACAAGATCGGCTGGCGGCTGCTCGTCACTCTCAGACCTCGACAACTCGCTCGCACCTCAGGGCACTCGGGCAGCTCCTCCGACTCGCCTCCTTCGCTCTAGTACCGGTCAGGGGAAGATGAGGGGGGTAAGGAGGATGAGGAGGATGAGGAGGATGAGGAGGATGAGAAGGATGAGAAGGATGAGGAGGGGGAAGAGGTGGTCACCTCTTGTAGATCTTTTTCCATGGCCTCGAAGATCTTTTGTTCTCTTCCTCCAAACAGCGCATCCTTGCCTGTCTTGGGCTCTTCGACCGCCTGATCGAGCGCAAGTTACCCCAGTCTTCTTCTCCTCGCTCACTCACCTCCTCCTCCTCCTCTACCCCCAGACTCTCTCCGATGGCATCCCACGACTAGTCATCAATTACTCAAGCAGGAGGCAGCAGGCACTACCTTAGTCGCTCCGCTGAGAGCCCTGCCGATGTTCTGCCCCATCGTTTTGGAGTCGGGAATGATCTGAACAAGGAAGGTCAGCAAAGTAGATGAGTGAATGAAGAGGAGGAGAGGAGGAGAGTAGGTGACAGCATGGTAAGTAGAGGAGGGAGGAGAGGTAAAGCAGGGGAGGAGAGGAAGGGGAGGGAGGGGAGGGAGGGGAGGGAAGAAAAGGAGGAGAGGTAGAATGGAGGTAGCAAGCAGAGAGGTAGAATGGAGTTAGCAAGCAGATTTCACCGGCTTTTCCTCGTCCTCTGCGTTCAAGGACAGAATCCTTGTCCTTCGATGGCCAGTGGCTCCAAGACGCCAAAATGTCCCGCCTGCAACTGGAGCAGGAGAAAGCTTGCTGCTGATGAGAGGAGAGAGAGAGGCAGGGAGCGCGCATGTCCTCGCGCCACTCAGTCCTGCGATGAACGCACTGGCGGAAGTCGCCATGGCCGCTACAAGCGCCGCCATCGCCCAGACCCTCACGCCCATCGCGGCCGCCATGTCACAAGAACTTAGCGAAAATTCTTTAGTCAACAAGACAAAAAAGAAGCGACAGGAGGGGGAGGAGGAGGGCAGGAGGGGGAGGAGGAGGGCAGGAGGGCAGGAGGAGGGCAGGAGGGCAGGAGGAGGGAGGAGGGCAGGAGGGCAGGAGGAGGGCAGGAGGGCAGGAGGAGCAGGAGGGCAGGAGGAGGGCAGGAGGAGGGCAGGAGGAGGGCAGGAGGAGGGCAGGAGGGCAGGAGGGCATGGAAGAGGCAGAGGGGATAATGAGGAAGTGGGAGTAAGAAGGAGATGATGAGGGGAGGGAGGGGAGAGATTCTCAGTGCTGATTTTCTTCCTCAGGGTTTGTATGTTTCGAGCAAGAGGATGAAGTCTTGGAGTTTGGCAGCCAAGGCTTGCGCTGGCCTCATCTTGGCCTCCATGGCATTTCTTCCTGTATACGGGACGATGGCCGTCATGCGAGGATACCCCAAGGCCCCCCTGGTCTACGTGGGGCTGCTGGGGCTGCTGGCTGCTGAAGGAGCCGGTCGCTTTCAACTATTTCCAGTGGAAGACAACGAGGACAAGGAGGAGTGAGAGGAGGCGCGAAGAGAGGGAGAGGGAGAGGGAACAAGAAGAAAAGAAGAGATTTCAACAACATCTACACGATATCTACAACCCTTCACCATCCCTTGGTCTCGACATACATCCTCCCCCCTGCGCCCCTCAAGTCCCTCCATTCATCTTCGCTCCACTCAAAGACAGCAGCAAGTCGCGGGAACGATGCTGACCCGCCTCCATCATCCCCACACCGTTAAAGGAAAGAGGTGGCTGCTGCTGCAGCAGCGAGCCCAGGGAGCCCTTGAACTGCGAGATGCTGGGGGTGGAGGCGCTGAAGGGGGACGGAAGCATGGCGTCGATAAGAGCACCTGAGGGCTTGTGAGGCGAGGGAGCAAGAGGATCGATACTCACGTCGAGAGCCGCTCTCCTTGTCTTCCACTGACGACAAGAAACTCAAGAGGCTGCCCGACTGACTCGAGACAGGCCCCTTGCCGGGCATCGCCGAGCTCAGGCCCATCACACTGCTGCTAGACTTGTCAACAAACCACCAACTAAGGAGGTTCACTGCTCACCTGCTGCCCAGCAAGTTGAGGTCTCCATGGCTGGAGGGAGATTTTCCGAGGAGAGCAGAGAGGTTCGACTGCAGCGAGAGCGCGTTCATCCCGTTGTTCATCCCACCCGCACTCGATCCCGACGTCTTCATCCCCCACGCATCTCCCGACATGCCGTTGGCTGTCGTTGTTCCTCGCAAAGCCGCTGCCGCTCCCCACAGTCTCGACTGGTTTGGGTCCTTCCAAGAATCTTCAGCTTGCGAGCTCAATGCAGGAGCCCCAGGCATGGTCGACTTGCCGAAGCCGTTTGAGGTCATCATCGAGTATCCGTGGCTGCTGGTTGAGCCTCCAGCCTTGGACCCCACATGTTTGACTGACTGGAACGCCTGACTGGTAGCGACGGCATTCTTCGACACGTTCTTTGAGTGCGACGAATGCCACGCTGACTGCTTCGGGGTCGTTGGGATTGGTCTCAAAAGACCAGACGAGGTTGGAATCCATTCGGGCGGCAGTCCGAGGGCTCCCCCAAGGTAACTCACTCGAACTTCTTCTACAGAGCTTCTCATCCTACTCGCTTCGATTCGAACAGTTCGCCAGTTTCCGTCCTTAAAAGCCTACAAAGGTGATAAGGACAAATTTAACAACGGAATAGGAGTACCTGGATAATGGAACCCACGAAGTACTTGCTTGAGTTGTTGGTCGACGAGAAGGACACAGAAGTCGGAGGAGCACTGTTATTGAGCACTGAAACTTGAATCTTCGAAGATGGTGATCCATACTGACTGTTGGGCGTGTGGTGGTGAGGTCCTTGGATAACACTAATGTTCGATGCAGACTTCTTGGTCACAGGGTTTGAACCTGATAACTTAGATGCTTGGTTGATCTTCCTGATGTGGTTGGACTCTTGCCCCGAGTACGACAGGACAGCATGAGAGCTATGGTCATGGCGATGTGCAGCACGGGCTTCCATCCTTGTGCTTTCATTCATCTCTGCGGCTTTGATCGTCAAGTAGTCTGGCTGCTTTGACTTGGCTTCTCCAAACCAATAATTCACAAGATCTTCCTGATGCCTGAGGTATTGCGATTGACTCTCGGTCTTCAAGTCTGTTGGTTTCGGCTTCACCAGCAAGCTGTTGGAGCTTAAATGTTTCGGGGTGCCTGCAAAAGTTTGCGCAGGAACATTCAAGCCATTCAAGTTCGAGAATAGCAGAGATTTGATGGAATGTCCGTCCATATCTGCAGATGACACTGAACCCAAGGCTTCCTTTTCCTTGGATTTTCCTGAGGAGCCCTTAAAGCGTGAGGGAGAAGCTTTTGAATCCTTGCTGTCAGATTCACTTCCAGAACCGTTGATCTCTCCCCCCTTTTCGCCTAGAGAGATTTAAGTTTCAGCTACGAGAAATTCGATTCGAAAAGTGACAAATGACGAAATGGTCACCTTCGTCCTCCTCGTTCGAAGCAACATTTCTTCGATGCCTTGCGGAATTTTTATGCGAAGCAAGAGCTTGCGATGAAGCAAACGCTCTAGAGCATGCCTGTCAATGCATCAAGAATGTGCACGAACCACCCTGCTCTCTTCCAATCACCTCACACCACAACTCGTTTTCGGAATCTGAATTGGAAGCTTCTTCGTCCTCTGAGCTTTCGCTGGATGATGAAGAAGATGATGAACTCTCAACTTCTGGCCCCTCATGCGGGCAAAATCTTGCATGAATCAGTTGCATAATTTTCACATAGAAATTTTGTACTTGTTCTGTCTCGCAGCTTTGCGGCTTTTCCGGCCATCATGTCGTTTACCCTTTGGAAACGTCGGATCTTGAGCCTGAATGGTGCTCAAGTCTTGGAGAACACTCTGCCACAAAAAATCGCATGAACGGAGCACACAGAGGTGATGATGAGCACCTTGCGATTGAGGGCTTGAAATCTGTTCGAGAACGACGTGAACCAAGGCCGATAAAGTTTCACAGAACTGTTTTCACACATCATTATTGTCAAAATTGTTTCAACAAAATGTTGGGAATACTTGTCTGTCCCTTCTCCAGACTGTCCCGAACTGTACGGAGTTCCCTTATATCCCCACATATTGCTCTTCTCATCGATTCTGTCTGCCGTCCTTGGAATCGTATGTTTTCTTTCGTGGTCGAGGGATTCAAGCAAAGCTTGCAGCTCATACTGAAAAAAAGCATTCTGTTACCATCTTCCTCTTCTACCACAGAAATCTAAGTACTTCGTAAGCGAAATCTTCTTCGTCAGGTCGTCTTCGTCTCTTTCCATTCCTTGCCGGAGGTGCTGGCGCAATCACCAATGGCCTGCACAATGTTTCACACTCAGTTCATGCCGCTCCTCAATCATAATTGAAAACCTGCATGCCATCCTGCCTTCAGGTCTATGACTCTCGCCGGCTTTCTTCTTAGCAGTCATATCTCCTTTTCATCATTCACATGTTTAGAGAGCCAACTTGTTTTCTAGAATTCAACCTGTATTGCTGATTTCACTCTCGGAGCTTTCGCGGTCTGCTGGTTGAATTTGATGGTCGGTCTTGTCGCTGCTCAGGTACTTCTTTCCGCTCACGCACGCGTTTCTTGAATCTCGCGTCATGGCTCTTGTAGCACGACCTGTGGAGTTTGAGCATCGGAGTATCGGAATATCAATCGATCAATCTACTTGTCACTGCCAGCTCTGCATGCTCCTGCCTGTCAGCGCTCTTTGGGTTCTTTTCCAGGGCATTTCGACTGGTTCTGCCTGACTTATCTCCGTTCCCTTTCGAGTCAGGTTTTTCCAGCTGGTCAGCAAAATCAGATTTTTGGAATGACCGTCATTAATCAAGGCTGACATCTTGAGTTCGGCGCGTTCTCTTGACATCTTGTTCTACATCTGAATCAGAGTCTTGGGCGGAAGGCTCTTCCACCGGATCCCGCTTTCCGCTCTCACTCCTTGAAGAACAGAAACAAATCAGATGATCGACTGAGGAAATCAAAAAGGTAACTGTTGTTAACACATTTTTTGGCACCTTGCGGCTGCTCCGGCGGGTCGCCGAGGTCTAGTCCTCATGGTTGTGACCAAATTCCGACCTGAAGATATGCATCAGCGCTTTCTTTGCCCCATACTCAACTCAAATTGAAATAGAATGTCACCGTTGACAACAAAAACCGCTCACAACAACTACACCTACAACTACTACAACGAAAATACGTCCAAAATCTGATTGCGCTCTGCTAGGTAGTTGAAAGTGGCTTCAGATTCACCGCTGCTGATACCGATTACGATCCAAACAAAGTACTGGAAAAAGTGCATTGTTGCATACCAAAAACAGAAAATGTTGCTTTGATTTGGGGATGAGCAAGTCAGGACACAATAGAGTACATTGATTGATTGATTTCTCGGTTGTTTCTATCACAAGCGTTCGGAGGAGGAAAGCAAGCAGGCCAGGTTTGCTCTTCCAAGGACGTCGCAACCTCGTCATTGGGATCCCTCAGATCAGAACAGTAGCTTCCCAAAACAGGCGAGGGTCATGCACGCAGGAGGAGAGAGAAGGGATCAGCAGGCAGGGTGGGATGCTACTGACAGGGACTGCAGGAGCTGCAGGAGCAGGAGCTGCAGGAGCAGGAGCAGCAGCAGGGCGTGAAGGGGGTGAGGGATGCAAGGAGATGGAGCAGGCGGGGGAAGGAGGGAAGGGGAAAGGGGGGCGAGAGGGGGTGGGGGTTATAGACCGGTGGGGTAGAAAATATGGGGGTCTACTTGTGTTTTAAAATCCTGGTAGGAGGGGTGGGATGTTGTCCGAATAGCGTGGGTACTCATAGGGGATGGAAGGGGTGGTTAAAGAAGTGAGTGGGTTTTGAGATGGTGATTGTGGGGTACAAGCGATAAGAATCCGCGAGGGTGGGGTAGTCTCAGTCCCAGTGAAAGGGGGTGGCAAAATGTTCCAGATGGGTAGAGAAGCGAGGGTGGTCACGTAAAGAGGAGGTCGTTGGGAAAAGGGGGTGGTGAGATTTGAGGGGGTGGGGTGGATGTTGAAAGGAGCAGTGCGGGCGAACAGATCTTGTAGTTTGAACACTCACAGTTTGAATGATTCGAAAATGATTCAGACGTTTGAACTGTGATGAGTAAATTTCATTTATAATAAGAACAATTTCTGGAATAAGAGTGGGTTGAAGGAAATTCAGGGTGGAGAGGTAGGGGTTCTTTCTAGCGTATTGTGTGAAAAAAAAAGGACCCCAGGATTGAACGTGAGTCCTAAATCTGGGTGTGAGGTAGGGTGGGGTACTCAAATTCACAGGGGGTAGGTCCCCAAATTGAGTCCCACCCCAAAAGCTACTTCCCCGGCCACAATGTTACCACCCTACCCCCCCCGACCCTCCAAGGTTATATGGATCACCCTAGCATACCCACCGGTGGGATGAGTGAATACAACCTACCGGTGGTGGGATGGGTTCAAAAAGTCACTCTGTTGGAGGCAATGTCGGGCATCAGGAGGAGGGTGGGGTTGTTTCTCCAGTAGCATAGGGGGGTGGGGGTGATGCATAAAGAGCTGAACAAAGGGTTAGAGGTGAGAGAGGCTCGAGGGGTGGGGTGGTGAATCTGTGGTAAAGAGGGGGGGGGGCATTCCATTCAGTAGGGGTGGTTTAAAGGTAGAATGGTGGGGTGGGTATGACACCCGCATTGCTGGGACGTATTGACAGGCGAGGGGTGGAGGCGAGACCCAGAGAGGGAGGGAGGGGACAGGAAGAAAGCATGGCGAGAAGGATCATGGCGAGAAGAAAGCATGGCGAGAAGGATCATGGCGAGAGGAAAGCATGGCGAGAAGGATCAGGGCGAGAGGAAAGCATGGCGAGAAGGATCATGGCGAGAGGAAAGCATGGCGAGAAGGATCATGGGGAGAAGAAAGCATGGGGAGAAGGATCATGGCGAGAAGAAAGCATGGCGAGAAGGATCATGGCGAGAGGAAAGCATGGCGAGAAGGATCATGGCGAGAAGAAAGCATGGCGAGAAGGATCATGGCGAGAGGAAAGCATGTGGAGAAGGATCACGGCGAGAAGAAAGCATGTGGAGAAGGATCACGGCGAGAAGAAAGCATGGGGAGAAGGATCATGGCGAGAAGAAAGCATGGGGAGAAGGATCATGGCGAGAAGAAAGCATGGGGAGAAGGATCATGGCGAGAAGGAAGCATGGGATCAAAGGAGCATGGCAAGGACACGGCATGAGACAATCGTCGATGTCTTGAGTCACTTGTGTATCGGCACTCAACAGGGTTTAGATAAGAGCGCCCAGAGTGAATACAAGGGAGATTCTCTTGGAAAAAGCACAGAGATGTGGGCAGTACGTTCTGTACAGACTTAAAAGCTCTGAAAATGAAGTAAGAAAGGTCTATCCCAGCTTGTATGCTGCTGGGACTACCTTGTTTTGTGCTGTGTTCCAAGGAACAATTTGAGCCCTTTGGCAAAATTCAACATATTCACAAAGCCAGGCGATTCAATGTTCCTAGAAGACAGTCTACTTGCTTAACAGCAAGACTATTCTCTCCGCAGCAAACTTCAAATTGAGAGTGTGCATGGTTGGCACATAGAATCGCTTCGGAAATGAGATTGGATTTGTCTGAACAGCTTCCAGACCTGACATATTGTAGCAGCGCTGTGCCGCACGACAAGTACATGGACCCCAGCTGGATGGAGAACAGCCTGCTACCGTCAACCTCATGCCACTTCGCTAGAATGTCGGAAGCGACTCGAAGGTACCGGGGACGCATCCTAGACAGGTGCGATCAACCGACATGAGCCTCAGCCGCAGTTTGCAATCGCAACCTGACATCGCCAAGCGTGAAGCACGAGACAGCCAACGCCATGTTCGCTTGATATCTATCAGCACCCATCAGAAGTTGAAAAACAATGTCAGAATTCAGATGATCATCAGCACGTTCTTGAACCTCAGAAGGTGATATGGGTGCAATTTTTGTGCTTCTTTCGACTCCAAGAACTTTGAAAGCTTCATCTGCCTATACAAGACATCACATTGCGTCTTGACGAACCATTGGTACCCATGGGTCGCGTCTTTGTGCATCGTCTCCAGTGCACTTCTGTTGCAAGATCAGATAAGGCATCCATTCGTGATAACGAGAGAGGAATACGCACTCTAACATCTCCTCCGCTGATTTGTTCAAAGCATTCATTTCCTGAAAGCATGTCAGCTTCCTAGCCGACTTGTGTGATCATGACATCACCGTGATCGGGTGCCTCCTCTTGCAAGCGTCACATATCACTACCGCTTGACCCTCATCGCCATTCGCGTCAGGCAAGATCGCAGCCTCGCACTTGTGCCCATCGCAGTCTGGCCATGGATTGCAAACTAATGAATTGAAATATCTTTCTGCTTGCCCAGATCACACACAAATCGGCAGATGTCGCATATAGTCACCTGGACCCGATGTTCCCGCGCACCATTCGCAAGCACACTGAAAGAAATAACCTTCTCTTATGAGCTTCTGTCGACGCTGTTAAAGGAATTTCGCCAACAAGGAGAATATTGACCATCCGTGCGGATCGCTGCTGAAAAGGGTCGACGTATGAGTAGAAGATCTATGCGTGCTGACAAGTCATTGAACGCTCTAGTCAACAATCAGGTAAGGTAACCTGCTCTCCTTCCTTCAAGTCTCGAGCTGCCCGTACAATAAGCTGGCTTGAAGTGTTCAGTCCAAAGTCAATAGCATTTGCATGCACCTCTGCTCCTCCCGGCACGAAGGAGTACACAGCATTGTAGTTGCAAGCATGGTTCAACATACAGGCAGAAGGGAAGATACCGAGACCGATGCGCTTGAAGCTGCACGAAGATTGAGTGGACAAGCTGATCACAAGGAAGTCTACCTGCCATTGGTGATGGGATGAGCATTGAACTTGATCCGCAGCATTAATCGTGCCACTTCCTGTGGTGTGGGGCTGCCTGGTACCGGTGGGAACCAGGACAGAATAATTCGAGCATCGGAAACTCTATGTTGGAATTCAGAAGAATCTTGCAGTTTGCTGTCGTGGCAAAGGAGCTCGGCGATGTTGTCAAAGTGAATTTCATCAAGGGTAGCTTCTGCTTGCAACAGCTTTCTCGACAAGCTTCGTATCACAAGGCGCACGGTTTCATCATCGGTAAGGAGCCGACCTTTAGATCTTTGCCTTTCGCACAAGACCGAACATTCCAGCGTGTGCTGAGGTCCAGCTGCTTCGAGGCATGCTTCCTCGCAAAAGAGGGTGGTACATCTCCAGCAACGAGCTCCCCCCCCTCTATCAATGCCCTTCATGCAATGACTGCAAATATCATTCACATGATCGTCGGCTACAACTGTGCAATAGTTTTCGGATCGCAGAAGAACAGAACCAGCTTGACAGCTCCGCGACAACCTCGCAAACCTCCCATACCTGCGGTCGATGTGGAGCTGCAATAATCCACCAGATTCCAAGGAAAGAAGACGTCTTGCTCTTGCGCATGCAGGTATTTCAGGGTCGATCTCTTCCCGCTCTTGCTCACGCTTGTCACCCTCCCTCGCTTTCTTCTCCTCTGTTCTCCTCTTGCCTGGGCCTTCCAAGAAGCCTCGTCGCATTGCCGCAGCACTCCCAACCCAACTCTCACGGTCCGATGAGTCGGGGGCCGGGGCGGCCGGCCGGGCCACTGATAACGACCGGGCCCGGACTCACGAGTACGAGGCTACCGTTGCAAGGAACCTGTGAGTAGAGGAGAGGAGGGGAAGAGACGGGGGTAGAGGAGGCGATGGAGTTCAAGGCTGGTGAGCATGCCGTCACTTCTGCAACCTTCGCCTACGCAACCCCTAGGAAGCATCCGTAAGTGAGAGGCTCCCGCGATGATCGAGACTGAGAGTGATGGCGATGCAGCTTGTCCTTAGAGCGAACTCTCTTCATGCGGCAGCCGCGAGAGAGCAGCGCCAAGGTGGCAAGAGCGAAGATGAAGGGCAGACGCTCCTCCAACGAGACTGCCAACTCCAGCCGAACGTTCTCTATACTTGCCTTCAAGTCACGCCTTGAGGGTGACATAGCAAACACTCTTCAAATACCTCACAGTGCTGTCTTCGTCGAAAGTTTCCTCCCGTGGGCAGACGACAAGTCTGCCCTGCTTGTTTCTTTCTTTCAGAACCAACAAGTGTCAGGCGATCGAGATAATGAGAAGCTCGCGAGGGACCTCACGGCAAAGATCATGCGGCTTGAGCGAGGGCTTGCGCTTGAATGCGGCAAACCTTCAACGGCAGCCGACAAGAGCGCTCTATGCTATGCCACCCATGCCATGATGGTGGAGGACTCAAGCCTTGGAGAGCGCGAGGTGAAGGTAAGGATAATCATGTCTGGGGACTACGAGCAGTACCTGTCGTCCTCGTGCCTTCCAGCTTACCAACAAGACTACCTTGAGCCACACACTGGAAGAAGACACTCCACCGGGACTTGCCAGGGCCCTCTCGAGCTCAGGGTTGCAGAGACCCAGTCGCCGGTTCTTGAAGGTGATCTTAGCGCACAGCAGTATGCTTCGCTTTCCAGCCCTCCTAGGCCTCAGCATGTCCAGCTGGCCTCGGGCAGGACACAGGAGATCTCCAACTTCCCCCGGCAGAAGCTGCTTCCTCCTTCATCTCGCTGGGGTTTGCGAGGAAGCATCAGCGAGCTGCCGACAAGCTCACGAGCCTACAGCGAGGAGAGCCTGGCCGACCTGGAGCCCATGAGACAAGCCATCGCAGCCTCTCGGGCATGTCGCGAGAGAATATGTTCCATGTTAAATAGCTACGGGGTGAAAGTGGAGCTACAAGATCTTGCCAGCGGGTGTTGACTTTCGCAGCCCTTCATTCACTTATACAGGCACATCAAACTCAACTGAAAGAAAGAAACAACTCCAGCCCTCATTCCCTTCACGTTGCTGGAACCTTCACGAGGAAAAGATCTTGAGCTGCCGATCCTTTGAGGCTGTGACAACGAACTTCGCGTCAGGACCAAAGCGGACGCCTGAGACGGACTTGGAGTGCGCCTTGGGTACGGAAAGGACTTCGTTGAGTGACTTGGTATGATAAACCTGAAGCGAAGTTGCTCCCGCACAGGCAAGATACAAACCGCTGTAGTCGAAAACAGCGTCATTCCCCTCTCCATCCCCGGAAAAATGCTTGACAGCAACAGCTTGCCCGCTCATCTTGGCAACTTTACGGAGGTCCCAAATCTTGAATCCATCCCCTCCAGCCGTGCAGACGTAGTATCCATTCTCAGAGAAGTTGATGCTGTTGACCTCCCCTGGATGCGCTGCGAAAGTGACGACATTCTGCTGAGTCTTCACGTCCCAGACTCTCACCAACTTGTCCACAGTCGCCGTGCCTGCCAGTAGGTCAAAGCAATAAAAAAGGAGGAGCAGGAGAGACCTAAGATAAGGCCGTCAGGATGAAAGGAGGCAGCACTATATCCCGAGGTTATCGAAGCTTCTGAGACGATTTTCCTGCACTTTCCCAGTGCCAAGTCATGTAGGGCCCAAGTCTTGTCATGTGACGCGGACACGATGAAGTCACCAGTGGCGTGCAGAGTGACGCCCGTTACTTCTCCTTGATGTTCCTTAAATGTATACACATTCTCTCCGCTGGTGCTTGACCACACTTTGACGGTCTTGTCGGCTGAAGCGGAAAAAACTAGCTCAGCTGCTGGATGGAACTGAACACACGTGACTTTCTTGGAATGTGCTGCTATCTTGTGAACGGCTTGTTCTGTTTTCTGATCAAAGATCACAACCTGTAAGGCGCAAGGGAATCATGAGAAACTAAATACTCCAGCTTACATGCAAACAGCACCTTGTTATCTGCACCTCCTGTGACTGTGAGATTTTCACGATTGGGATGCAAATCCAGACAAAGAATCGCATTGGCCATGTGCACGGGAAAGGCCTTCTTTTCAGTGAATTTGCTTATTTGATCTTCAGGGGTCAAAGTGGCTGATATTGAAGGGTCAGAAGAGCTTTCTTCTAAAAGACAATTCACGTGCCTGATACTTCTCGCTTCTTTCGGTTTTTGGATAAGGTTGTGGATACCTCTGTCATCTTGGCCTTCACAGCTTCTGAGATGCCTTCACCGTCATCCAGCTGATCCATCCATTCACTTGTTTCATTACATCGCCATGAGAGAAGTTGCTCACCTCCATGCTATCATTGCCGCTCGTTGGTTTCACACCGTTGGACGCTGCTCCTGCTGATGGCAGAGAAAACTCCCCCTTGGCGGACGCCTTGACCAGAGCCTCGCGTGCCTGACACTTGTCTGACAAACTGCAGAGGAAGAAAGATCCACAGGCAACAGACACGAGTAGCTGACCTCATCGCGTTCCTTCATGAGCCTTGAGATCACCCGGCAGGCAGCATCGTGTTGGTACAATGTGTGCGAGAGCTCTTGTCTCGTTTGCTCTAGCAGCCTGGAAATCCCCTCATCACACGACGAACAGAAACTTTGCCCCATTGCAAACGAGACTCCTTATCAACAATTGAACAAGCAGTCACTTACTTTCGTAAAACCACGCATTCGCGCACTGTTTGTTCCCATTCCTCTTGGAATCTGGAATCTTCTTGTCAACAACGCATTTCTTATGTTTATCGAATACATGCTAAGCATCCCAGGAATGCTGGTAGACTTCACAGGGCGGCCTTTCACGTAGCAGTTTCCTGCAGTCTGTATCATTGCAGCGCGAGGATTCGAGACACACGGGCACAACAACAATGAGGTGCAGGAGAAAAGCGGGAAAGGATCTGAGCCCCATCACATTTGAGGGCGGATGGGAATCGCAAGGAGTGAACTAAAAGAATTTCACCTTTCACTTCCATGATATCCTCCATTGACAGGGGTTCCCCTGTAATAGGACAAGTACCATGATCCTGTAGACGCGATGTATCAGAAAAATGATCAGCATGAGACAAGGAGTATGGTCAGCGCAAGACAAGCAAATATGGCCAACGACAACATCTGCAATGTCAGCGCAAGACAAGCAAATATGGCAAACGACAACATGTGCATTGTAAGCGCATAGGTCGCTTGAGTCGGAAGGCAAGAGCAGGGTGGCGTAGAAGAGGGAGATGGACCTGGATGTAGTTTTCGATGAGGCTTCGCTCGAAGACGAGGCCTGACTTGATCGACATCCTCGCTTCTCTCGGCGCCTCTCCGCTCATCGCGCACACTATCCCCGACATGCTGCCGCGCCGCTGCCTCCCTTCGCCACACTTCTACCCTACCCACCATATTCTAGCTACTCAGGCCCTTGGAAATCAGGGTGGGTCATAGTGACCCCACCACCCCTTCTAACGTTGTCAGTGGGGGTCCTTGAACTCGTGCAGGGTCGGCCCCCCACCCCCTCAACACCACAAAAAGCACCCCTACCCCTGCCACCACCCTAATATTAGGAAGCCATGGTGGAGCCGGGCCATCTAGATAGCAAGGACAATCTTTCAAAAAGTTCTACAGGGACAGAAATGCGAGCTGGAGACACGGGGGAGAGGACAGGACAGGACAGGACAGGACAGGACAGGACAGGACAGGACAGGACAGGACAGGACAGGACAGGAGAGAGAAGGGCCGGGGAGGCAGGTAGGCGATGTCAGAAAACGTTAGAAATCAGATCTAGACAGATATTATAGACATTATGATGAAAGCATCTACCGAAAGAAAGGAGTTGTCATGTTTTCGTCAAATTGTTGTCTTAGACAAATGCGACAAGGACACTGCCAGGTCGATGCTTGTGAAGGCTGCCAAGCAAGTAGAACCGATCATGGTGAAACGAAACTGGTCGGTGGGAACACTGCGAGAATTTCTCCCTCGAGACAGGTGCTTTCTCTTGCGATGCTCGCTGGTGAAGCTGAGGCTGCGAGCAGGAAGCTTCTGGGGCTGAATGAGAATCGAGGAGAGACTATTTCCATCCGCCTGCGAGGTTCAGGCGACAATGGCCGCTTCCTTGAGTACCACGATGTCCTCGGTACGCTCCTGCATGAGCTGGTTCACAACGAAGTGGGCCCACACAATCAGCGCTTCTATGTGCTCCTGCAGCAGCTAGAGGAGGAGACAGAAAGCCTCATGGCGCGAGGCATCGTCGGGGTGGGGCCATTCGAGTGTGAGGGGAGGCGGTGCGGAGGACGCCAGGAGCAACGGAACATGCGAGAGGCGATGCTGACAGCAGCACTCAAGAGGAAGAGGCAGCGAGATCTGATGGGGTCAGGGCGACTGGGAGGAAGCGATAACTGCGGAATGCATGTGCGAGAGCTGGCAGGGCGAGCAGCAGCTCGGCGAGCAGAAGATGATCAGACGTGCCGGACCCGAGGAGAGGAGGAAGAGGATGGGGGGGCGACGAGCAAACGAGGCCGGGCAGAACCATTGAAGGAAGTGATCGACCTGACTGGTGAAGATTGAATGGAAGAAGAGCGGCGGGTGTTGTGTTGGGATGACGAGCTTCTGTTATCCTCTTGGTGTTGTTATGTGCCATGTGCCTCTCTCGCCCTTGAGAACGACTCCAATCTCCTGCCTCGTCCTCGTCCAATCAGACTTGGTACTCAATCTCTTCGCTCATCTGCCCACGTCGAGCTGCAGGGATGGAGGAGGAAAGGGAAGAGGAGAACTGCTCTCGCATCTCCCTCAAGCCTTCAACGTCCTCGTGCTGGAGCCCCACGTAAGCAGCTGCTCCTCCCGGTCCCTTCTGCCAACATTTCACACTTGTCCTTAGCTCCTCCGCTCCTCACCTTCCTCAGTAACTCCAAGGCAGCCAACTTGTCTGGTGACGAGAACCTGGACGACGTCAAGCAAGGACAAGAGGGACAAGGATCACCGCTCTCCATGCTCGACAGTCAGAGAGCGAGCAAGCGGATCGTGGCGAGGCGCAGGGAGCAGGAAGGGCTCATGATTGCGAGGGGACTTGAACTTGATCCGCACAGGCTCTTCCTGCTCCACCTGCGTCTGCTCGACGCTGAGCCGAGGGACTCTGAGTTCTTGGCTACTGGTGGGGGAAGAGGAAGGAGCCTCTTGATCCACCAGAGGTGCGCGAACAAGCGGGACGAGGAGCTTCACGCGTTTCTCACGGCCAGTCGCTGCCAGCAGTAAGGAGGCACAATGGACGAGACCTACACACCTCCTTTGATCCTCCTCGTTAGTGAGAGCTTGACCACATGCCCCGCACGTCCCTTCGTCCCTGTAAGTTCCTCCCGCTCCCCCTCCTCATTCACCTTGATCAGTGAAGCTGCAAACTGCATGTCGCGACCTTTTCGCAGGCATTGAGTTGAAATCTTTCCGTCCTCCCCTCCTCACCTATGATGCGATTCCCGTCCACGGCCGTCAGCTCGTCGCCCAGCAGCACCTTCCACTGTCTCAGCTGAGGAGCTTCATGGAGGTCTAGCTAGTGCTGACGTCTTTCTCTCTCCTCACCTTGCCCGACTGAGCTGCTACTCCAGCTGGGAGACTCTCAATGACAAAAGTCCCATCGCTTGTTCGCGTTAGCTGAATGCCGATGCCTCCGGGTCGCTCCAGCCCTTCCTTCTCTATCCTCCCTCTCGCAACCGCCTCCTCCTCGTACAAGTCCACTTCTTCCGCAAGAATAATCTCAGCAACAAAGGAACAAAGAGGAAAGGTGGTGATGGTAAAGGAGGGGTGGAGGAAAGAGGGACGGGAGGAGAGGAGGATGCCAACCTGGTGAGCATGGTGTTCCTGTCTTCAACGAGGCTTGTTGCAACCTGATGCACGAGGTGAGCTAGCTATGCTCGCGCTCCTCTCAGCGACTCATCACATGGGAGGGGAGCAGCGACTTGGCTGCTGCGATTCGACGTGACGGTCGGGGCTGCTGACGCTCGAATTGCCGTGAGCGAAGCGACGAGAAGGGAGGTTGAGAGCGATGAGGTCCTCCTCTCGTCGGTTGCTCCTCCTGCTCCCCATCACCAACTCACTTGTCCGACATTCTTATGCTCTCCGTCACCTCATCGCTTCCTTGTTGCTTGGACTGCAAATCCTGCTCGTGATGTCTCTTGCCTTTCTCAAAGTCAAGAACTTCTTCTTCCCTCCTCATCCTATTCCTGCTGGCCACTTCCATGGTCCCTCTACTTTCATGACATCCCTATCCCTCCTCTTCCTCCCCCTCACCTCTCTCAACGACGAATAGGTTTTCTCGAGCTCGCTGTCGTAGGACCTGTTCATGACGCTCAGCAGCTCACGCGCAGGGCTCGAGGTCTCCGACGTGTCTAAAGGGGTCGAGCAGTCCTGCGGTCCCTTGGGGTCTCCGGCTGCTAATAACTTGTCGTTTTTTGTCTCTGACGCTTCCACGTTGAGCGGATCGAGCGGAGGAGAGGAGGAGGCGGAGGCTGCGTGAGGCCCCAACGATCCCACTGACCGGAGTCTTCTTCGAGTAGAAGAAGCGGAGGGAGAGGAGGAAGGTCGTCGAGCCTCCAGTTCTTTTCCTTCCTGAAGCCAAGCCTATGGAGGGAGGAAGTGACTAGCAAGTTGGAGAAAACAAGCAACTTGAGGGTCACTTCGCGCTGGAGGGCTTGGATCCTTTCCTCCCTTAATTTGGCGGTTTCATACAAGCGTGCGGAGTTTGTCTTTTCTTTCCTCGCACTCTTGCGCTCCCCTGCTCACGCAGTTGGTTATTCCTCCCTTTCCTTGACTCTCCCTTCCTCGTCTCACTTGTCTCGTTTCGATCCTGCTGCGCTCTTGCCAACTTCTCGATCTTGTCACTTCGCTGCTGAGCAACACAGACGTCATACCCCAGGCTTCCTCTCCTCCTCCTCCTCCTCACCTTCCCTGCGTCCATAAGCCTGTCCTGCAAACACAAAAGTCAGCCGGTGAGTTGAGCTTCAGCTAGAGGCTCGTCTTGTCACCTCAACGTTTCCTCGCCTCCTTCCCTCTCGCTCCATCTGTTCAGCTATTCTTCTGCTTCTCGCCAAGATAGCTGGGCTGCTGCTCGAGCCCTCAAGCCTCTTGGCGCTGGTCGATGGCTTAGGAGTTGCAAGCACTGCGGCGACTGGTCGAGGGAGGGAGGAAGAGGACGAGTACAGCGAACGAAGCTCATTCATCTCAAGTACTGCACCTGCCTCCTCCCTCCTCACCTTCTCCTTTGCGAGCCGTTTTGACCTGAAGCAAACAAGATCAGAAGGTCGTAGGAAACAGCTCAATTCACTTCTCGTTGATTTCTGGGCGGAAGGTACAGAAAGACATTTCGCGCGACAATAGTTTCTGAGCAGCTTCTTGCTGGGGTGTGCTCTCAGCGAACAGTGTGAGGAGGATAGAAGAAGCGAGGAGGATAGGAAAAGCGAGGAGGAAGGGAGAGGAGGAAGGGAGAGGAGGAAGGGAGAGGAGGTAGGGAGGTGAATGAAAGATGGGCAGGGGGGAAGAGGAAGGAGAGCAGAAGGAAGAAAGCTAACCTTCTTCTTCTCGCGGGCTTCCAGGGTCAATCCTCCTCTCGTGTTGGGGCGACTTGGGCAGCTGCCTGGCTGATTCCACGAGTAGTCGATGGCTGTCAGGGACTCGCGGGCTCTTCTCAGCTCAATTGCGCCCCCAGCGGCAGCCGAGGCTTGGCCGATCCCGAAGTTTCTGAGAGCATCTGACCCCCATCCCTCTCCGAGATCTAGAGCCCCGCTGAAGCTGCCAGGACGTCACGTCGCTACTTCCTCCTTCTGTGAGACCTCTCAAGCAGCTCCAGTGCCTCTTGCCGCTGCTGCCCGTCGACCGCGCTCATCATCAAGAACTTCTTGGCAGACGCGAAGATGCCTGAGGAGCGTGACGATGAGTGACAAGAGGCGAATAGTCGCACCAGCAGATTCATGCGGCACTTCCTTCGCCTGCTCTTGCTCGCCCTTATCTTCTCTTGCTTTGTCCTTACCTTCCCTCCCTTCCTCCTTCAGCCTATGTGAGTTTGCCTGTCGCCCGATGTAGGGGCGAGGTGCTTGTATCCTTCTCGGACTTGGCTCAGCGCTGGAGCTCGAGGAGGTCAAGAGCTCTTGCTGGGAGACGAGAGGAGACGTCTGGGAAGCAAAAGGAAGACATTGAGCACTCCAGCATCCTGCGTCGAGAGCCTATTGGACGTCATCGGTCCCCATTCTCCACCTCCTCCTCACCTTGATCCATCCCTCCGGGGTCAAGCACTGCCGATTTGCTCGAGGACTTCGAGGCGAGTTGGTGGCCGAGTCATCAGGGGGATGCGACTGCACCGGAGGATTAGCAGAGTGGAGCACGTGGACATGCTTACCTTGAGCTGCTCGACTGAGAGGGGTTGGAAGTTAACTCTGAGATGCTGGCTGCCTCGCGCTGATCCGATCGCGTCGTCGTCCAAGGTGGTGGAACAGATCCCACCATCGTTACCGAAGAAGTGGAAAGGGGCATCACGTTCACAAGTGACCTCTCTCTCTCTGCTTGTTTCCTCGCAAACCTTCCAATCTGATGCTTCTTCTGCTGCTTCTTCTGCTGCTTCTTCTGGTGCTTCTTCTGCTGCTACTTCTGGTGCAATACTCGTCTGTTCGAAACTGACATGCGCATTCGAGCAGTCGGGAGACAAGGTCAAGAGCTGAGCCACCTCCTTTTCGAGCTCCTTCGCTTCCTTTCGCAGCGAGAAGAAGCTTCCTTCAGTCACTCCATACCCTCCAGCAGCATCAACAGACGCCATTCTCACACGATCAGATCCAACTCATCCTGCACAAACAGGTCAGCCTCCCTTTCTCCCTCCTCTATCTTCAATACCCATCCTCCTCTCCTCAAACCCCTCGTCTGCCTCCCTTCCCCTTCCGCTCAACTCCTCACCCGACCTTTCTTCTACACAGTTCCTTCAGATCGTCCCCCCCCCCCCTCTTCCTTCTCTCACTTCTCTCCCCTCCTTTATCTTGGTTTCCTCGGCTCTGTCCCTCCTATCCCCCGTGGTCAAGAGAGATCCTCCTTCCCCTTCCCTCCCTCTCCTCCCTCTCTGTTCCCTCTCCATCTCCCTTCATTCCTCCGTTCTCTTCCCTCCCTCTCCTCCTCACTCCCTCTTCCCCCCCTTTCCTCCCTTCCTCTCCCCATCTCCCCATCCTTCCTCTCCCCCCTCCTCCCACTCGCCCCGTCGGATGCATGGTTTTGAGTCTCCTAGGACCTTCCTATGACACCCTGGTCGGTGTGAAGGTTTCGTATGGATTCATAAAAAAAATCAAAAATCAAGATCGCCGGACTCCGAACCGTCTCCGAGGCTCGGAGAGTCAGTGGGCTGGCGCCCTGTGACTTCTCAGTGGCCGAGGCTGTGAATCGTGACGGGCCCGGCATGACCAGATGAAACGGAGGCACCGTGTGATCAGGGTCAGCTGCCAGTGTACTCTGGTGACCAGCCCCGGCTATCATGCAGTGCCAGTGTTGTGTGCAGTGCGTGAATAGTACGGAAGTTTCTTCTGCTTGAGGCACTTTCTACCTCAGTGTGCGAGTCACCGGCTGCACTGCCGCCAGCCCACGCAGATCCTCTAAGCTTCCTGCAGCGGCGCTCCACCGACGGTACTCTGCATCCTGACACCCTCCCCTTCATCAGGCTTGTACAGTGGCAGACATCATCGCTCAGCGGCGCCGTCGAGGCCCTCGAGGATGTGGGCTGTTTGGTTGGCACTTCCGCCGATTCCCCGGCGGAGCCCTGCCATGTTTGGTCGGCACTTCCGATTCCCCGGCGGCGGAGCCCTGCCATGTTTGGTCGGCACTTCCGATTCCCGGCGGCGGAGTCCTGCCATGATGTCGGATGCCAGACCTGCTGCTGAGCGGCTCCGAGGATCCTCGAGCGGCCACTGAGGACACCTCCTCCGACTCCGGAGTCCCGGAGTCGCCGGAGGTCTCGGACTCAGCGCCGGCCGCAGTCCTTGTAGGCACTTTTTACCTTATGCGAGTAAAACTCTACTTTCTTGTCGGCGGCTGCCCTTTCTCCGTCATGAGGTCGTTCACGTCCCCTCAGTGCTGTGCCGGTATCCCGGCGCTCGTTGCTTGCCCCTCTCTGCTTGTCTACGTGGCTTCCAGCAGTGCTGGTTACTTTCGGTCTTGTGTACTGTTTCGTGTATTTGCCCCGCGTTTGTTGCTGCAGTGTTGAGTTAACTGAAAAAAGGTCTGATGTTTTGCTTGTTGCTGCTTTCTTCTGCTTGAGGCACTTTTTACCTTATGCTCAGAGTGCCTATATTGGTAGGAGGGCCCGGCGTAAGATTTACGGTTGCCAGCAGTGCTGGTTCTTTTCGGGCTTGTGTTTTGTGTGTGTTTGTGCAGCTTCTCGCTGTGCGCTGTGTGCAAGCAGGTTTAGCTTGTTCCTGCTTTGTTTTGCTTGAGGCACATTTTACATTCTGCCAGTAAATCCCCGTTCTGCTTGAGGCACTTTTTACCTTTTATGCGAGTAAAACTCTATCAAAACAAGCAAAAGAAAGCAGCTGCATGCACACAGCGCCACAGCGAGAAGCTGCACAAACACACACAACCAAACAAGAACAACTTTTTACCTTCTGCGAGTAAAACTCTGAGACGGCCCAAGAGTAACCAGCACTGCTGGTAGCTTACGGTGTGTGTCACAGTTTATGCAGCTTCTCGCTGTGCGCTGTGTGCATGCAGGTTTAGCTTGTTCCTGCTTTGTTTTGCTTGAGGCACTTTTTACTTTTTATGCGAGTAAACACGTGACTTCGTTACCCGGTAGCTCTGCCAACCTGCTTTTGTTGCTGTGTGCAAAAAACAAGACCAAAAGCAGACCGTTTACTGGCAGGGGGGCGTCCGAGATGAAACTCCCTTAGACGCGATACTAGGTGCCCCGGAGGCATCCGACTGACCACTGTCAGTCGAGACGTCCCCCGCCGCCGCAAAGCTGGCGGCATTACGGAATCACGGTCGCGGACGAAGAAAGAGCAGCCGCCGACGGCGGGAGGGGGGGGGGGGCTGTGTGCATCGAAGCATGCAGGTTTAGCTTGTTCCTGCAACTTAGCAGGTTTAGCGTGTTCCTGTACCTTCTGCCAGTAAATCCGTCCATGCTTTCTTTTGCTTTAGAGGGAGTCCGATTTACTGGCAGAAGGTAAAAAGTGCCTCAAGCAAATTGCTGGTTCTTTTCGGGCTTGTGTTTTGTGAATGCCCAAGGACCGGCGTGACCCGCCGCTCCCGACCGATGCCGGGGAGGATCGAGCTCTCCGGAGGCACCCGAAGTCACAGTGAGGGACGGAGACGCCTCGCCAGCTCCGCGCCGATCGTCGGCGCCACTCTGGATGTTTCCCCCATCGGAGTCGGAGACCTCCGGCGAAGACTCCTCCTCGGGCGACTCGACAAAGTCCGAGGAGGAGCTGTCCTCCGCCACCAGCAGCACCCGCAGCAGCAGCAGCCGCAGCTGCAGCACCCGCGTCAGCAGCAGCAGCAACAGCAGCAGCAGCAACCACCACAGCAGCGACCACAACCGCGCGGGCCGAGGGAGCAGCGGCAGTCCGGCCAATCGTCTCAGGAGTCTGAGCCTGCTCCTCCGCCGCGACCTACGCTGTCCCTCACCTCTGCGAGCGAGCGCCAAAGACAGTTGGCGATTCATCAGTTCACTGCGGGTGACCTTCATCGGGCGGTACGGACACTACTGAGCTCCGGCATCTACAGGGCTGAACCTTTCGCTGATCTTCTTGCTGAAGCACAAGAGAAGTTCCCTGATGGTGCGTCGCCTGCCTTTGGAAGTGCTTCCGCGGATCATCTCACCCAGCAAGCGCTTGCAGTACTGCAGGCGGATTTGACTGACATCCTCGACACCACTAGCCTGATCCAGGCGATCAAGCGCTACAGCTCCTTTGCGGGGACCGATCATCGGACCAAGGGTGGAGGATTTGGCAACACCTGTCACCCCTTTCTAGTCATCCTGCAGCTTTGAAGCTCTACTGGGTGGGCTGGATGGCATTGTAGCTGAAGAAGAGCCTTAAGCGCCGTCTCAAGACTCAACTTCTTCACTTCGAGGTCGTCACTGGCGGGATTACACTTGGCGGCCTGCCTATCGGCACGGATGGATTTCATGCTAGTCAGCTCCGAGCGAAGGTTTCTACCCTCAACGAAGAGCTCTCGAAGCTCGGGCTCGTCCAGCATGGCTTCATGTTCAAGACGCTGGTGAGGGCGAGCCATCTCCAGAAGCTGCGCTTCTTCCTCCAGGGGTCTTCTCCGTTTCTCCCGCGGGTCCAATCACAGATTCGTCGCTTTGACCTCTCTGTCCACCTGGCGCTTGAGAAATACCACCGCTGGCCTTCCTCGCAGTACCTTGCCGCGCATCCCGACCTGCTAGAGTTTGCGAGGTTCAAGCGGGAGCTTCCGCATAGTCGAGGAGGGGACGAGTTCACGCCCTCTGAGGGTCTACACCCCGCTGTTTACTATACGGCTATCGCTCGCTTCCTCGCTTCAGGCTTGGTACTCTGACCAGCCCATGTCACGGACCCTGCCCTCTCCTCATAGCCTGGACGTTCACTGCTCGAGATCTCTCCGTGCCCAGAAGCATCCTCTGGCGACCTTCTTCGGCTTCGCGCTTGGGCTGGCGCTGCCGCGTCTGGGTGCCAGCAGTGCTGGTTCTTTTCGGGCTTGTGTTTTGTGTGTGATTGTGCAGCTTCTCGCTGTGGACTGTGTATCTGCCGGTTCAGCTTGTTCCTGCTTTGTTTTGCTTGAGGCACTTTTTATCTTCTGCCAGTAAATCCTATACCCCCTTCTTCGTTGAGGCGCACGACTTCGTTCATAATGCTGGAGCGATCCTCTACCGTCGTGTCAAGGCTCCTGCACCGGCTGCAGATGGCGCGGCGATCCCACCTGCCCCGGCTGCTGTGCCTGATGACGCAGGACGCCCCCCGGCATCTGTGGTACACATCCCTGGTTTGCGCGCTCTCGTCGACTCGTCTCATGAGCACTTCATTCCTCCCCCTGCGCAGCGAAATGTGACTCCTCTTGTCATGCGCGTCTTCCCTCGCCATGTGCATGCTCGCGCTGCGCTGACCGATCAGCAGCGTGATATCCTCACCTTGCACAGCCGCAGGACACACTCGCTCAAGTCGCAGGATAGGGTCTTGCAGTCTACCATCTTCGCTCATTTTCCTGAGCGAGACCTGAGCCACTCTCCGATGCGAGTCTCGAGCTACTACCCCCTCAAGGCCTTCCCGCACCGCTATGCTCAGATGCTCGACTGCTATCTCCATGGCATGCCGATCTGCCAGTGTCCGACGAAATGTGATGGATGTCAGCGCGAGCTCGACCCCTCCGTTGCTGCACATCATCTCCAGACCTGCAAACGCCGATCCTCCAAGCTTCCCACGGCGCATGACAACCTTACTCGTACGATTCGGTCGATGCTGAACGAAGCTGGTCTTCAGAGCGTCATCGATACAATGGGGGATCCTCGTTCTCGACGGCAGGTACCCTCCCATCCTCATATCATATAGGATTTACTGGCAGAAGATAAAAAGTGCCTCAAGCAAAACAAAGCAGGAACAAGCTGAACCGGCAGGCACACAGTCCACAGCGAGAAGCTGCACAAACACACACAAAACACAAGCCCGAAAAGAACCAGCACTGCCACCCAGACGCGGCATCGCCAGCCCAAGCGCGAAGCCGCGCAGACAAGCAGCCTAAGGGTCAAGCAATCAAGCAACAAGCAGCAGGAGCATGCAGGAGGAATAAAATCCCTTAGACGCGATACCCGGAGGCAGCCGACTGACCACTGTCAGTCGAGACGTCCGCTGCCGCCACAAAGCGGGCGGCCGCGGACGGAGAAAGGGCAGCCGCCGACAAGGAGCCGGCGCTGCCCGGGTGTCCGCCTGGGGCAGCGGACGGAGGGAGGCTGGACACAGGAACACGGTACCGCTCGAGGTAGTCCTCCTCGCTAGCCTCCGAGTCAGCGGTAGCCGAGTCAGTGGTAGCCGCCCGTGACGGCGGCGACGCCGCGGCAATGCCCAAGGACCGGCGTGACCCGACCGATGCCGGGGAGGAAGCAGGCGAGCTCGGACCAGCAGCAAGCACCCCAGTGGTGTCGAGCTCTCCGGAGGCACCCGACGTCACAGTGAGGGACGGAGACGCCTCGCCAGCTCCGCGCCGATCGTCGGGGCCACTCGAAGGGTTTCCCCCATCAAACATATCCTCCAAGGGGTCCTTCTTGGCCAAATGCCGGATCTTCTTATTCCTGCCCTGTCAGCCATTCGTCGAGGATGCAGATTTATTCCCCTCTCCAAGGGAGCTGATAAACCTGGTCTCCGGCCAATTGTCATCGGTTCTGCCGCACACCGTCGACTTGCGACGAAGCTTGCTTTGGCAGCGATTCGCTCATTTCTTGACCAGCACTTCCTCTCGTCTCACCCTCGAGCGATTCAGTTCGGACTCGATCGAGACGGCTGGCTGAAGTTCTCGCAAACCGCGTCAGCGCTCCTGCCCCTTCACGCTCGCGGTGATGATGAGGATGTTGCCAACCCCACAGTGCTGGTGAGTTTGGATGCAAAGAACGCCTTCAACTCCCTCGACCGCCAGGCTCTCTTCGATGCAATCGAGGGACGTGCGAGTCGCGACTACTTTGATGGGAGCATCACTGAAGGCGCTCGCTTGCCCTCTTGCGAGCATCTCCGTTTGTTCGCCTCCTACCTCTCCAGCTACTATGGAGACTCTGCTGACCTTCGACTCTTTCACAAAAGTCAGTCAGCCTCCGTTCAGTGTACCTCGGGCGTCTGTCAGGGCGATGTCCCCTCCAGCGTATTTTTCTGCCACAGTATCCACCCCCTGCTCCTCCATATCGCAGAGCTTTTTCCCTCTGTTCGAGTCTTGGCCTATGCTGACAACGTCGTGCTTGTCGGTCCACTCGAGGATGCCGTTGCAGCTACGTCCGCTATGAAGAAGGATTTGGATTTACTGGCAGAAGATAAAAAGTGCCTCAAGCAAAACAAAGCAGGAACAAGCTGAACCGGCAGGCACACAGTCCACAGCGAGAAGCTGCACAAACACACACAAAACACAAGCCCGAAAAGAACCAGCACTGCTGGCACCCAGACGCGGCATCGCCAGCCCAGCAGGAGCATGCAGGAGGAATAAAATCCCTTAGACGCGATACCCGGAGGCAGCCGACTGACCACTGTCAGTCGAGACGTCCGCTGTAATCGTACTTGATGGCGGACGTGACGTTGGTCCACCCTTACATTGGTGGCGGACGTGACGTGACTAGATGGCGGACGTGACGTTGGTCCACCCTTACATTGGTAGCTCTGCCGACCTGACCAAGTGGGGGGAGGTCAACCTCGACGCCCTCCATGTTGCAGCGTCTGAGAAGATTCGCAAACATCGCGCTGCATATGCCATGACTACTCCTCCTCGAGCGTTCATCCCTCTTGCCATCTCGACGGACGGTACCCTGCATCCTGACACCCTCCGCTTCATCTGGTATCTCGCGGACATCATTGCTCAGCGCTCAATGCCTCTTGAGGATGCGGCGTTTGGTCGGCCCTTCGTGCCTGATGACGGCCCTGCTGCTGAGGTCTTGGCTCGCAAACGCGCCGCCACCTATCAGCGCCTCACCATGCAGCTGACGCTGGAGGCGCTCTTGTCTGGTGCGAGGCGCATGACGCCCTTGCGGGCGCAAGCACTTCTCGAGCCAGAGGACAGCTCCTCCTCGGACTTTGTCGAGTCGCCCGAGGAGTCTTCGCCGGAGGTCTCCGACTCCGATGGGGGACACCCTTCGAGTGGCGCCGACGATCGGCGCGGAGCTGGCGAGGCGTCTCCGTCCCTCACTGTGACGTCGGGTGCCTCCGGAGAGCTCGACACCACTGGGGTGCTTGCTGCTGGTCCGAGCTCGCCTGCTTCCTCCCCGGCATCGGTCGGGTCACGCCGGTCCTTGGGCATTGCCGCGGCGTCGCCGCCGTCACGGGCGGCTACCGCTGACTCGGCTACCGCTGACTCGGAGGCTAGCGAGGAGGACTACCTCGAGCGGTACCGTGTTCATGTGTCCAGCCTCCCTCCGTCCGCTGCCCCAGGCGGACCCCCGGGCAGCGCCGGCTCCTTGTCGGCGGCTGCCCTTTCTCCGTCCGCGGCCGCCCGCTTTGTGGCGGCAGCGGACGTCTCGACTGACAGTGGTCAGTCGGCTGCCTCCGGGTATCGCGTCTAAGGGATTTTATTCCTCCTGCATGCTCCTTCACCATGCAGCTGACGCTGGAAGCGCTCTTGTCTGGTGCGAGGCGCAGGCGGTATAGGATTTACTGGCAGAAGGTAAAAAGTGCCTCAAGCAAAACAAATGACGCCCTTGCGGGCGCAAGCACTTCTCGAGCCAGAGGACAGCTCCTCCTCGGACTTTGTCGAGTCGCCCGAGGAGTCTTCGCCGGAGGTCTCCGACTCCGATGGGGGACACCCTTCGAGTGGCGCCGACGATCGGCGCGGAGCTGGCGAGGCGTCTCCGTCCCTCACTGTGACGTCGGGTGCCTCCGGAGAGCTCGACACCACTGGGGTGCTTGCTGCTGGTGACGTAGAGGAGGCCTTCCTAGCTGAGCCGTCTTGCTAAGGTCCTCTCATGTCTGGATGCTTGGGTTTCACATCAGTAGTAGCATACAGTCTATCTCTCATGTGCTCCTCAATTCTGGTTTTGTGTGCATTAAACTTGGTCTTGAGCAAAAACTGTCTTGTTACAACTAAGGTCGATGTGATGTCTGCGTGACTTTGGACTAGTACAAGTCTAACAAACTTGTATTCCGTCACCCTTAGACGCGATACCCGGAGCGGCAGCCGAGAGGGATGAACGCTCGAGGAGGAGTAGTCATAGCATATGCAGCGCGATGTTTGCGAATCTTGGCAGACGCTGCAACATGGCTCGGAGGGCGGCGTCGAGGTTGACCTCCCCCCACTTGGTCAGGTCGCCGCCGGCAGAGGCTACCAATGTAAGGGTGGACCAACGGTCACGTCCGCCATCAAGCCCTCGTACTGCTCGGACCCTCGATCGCGGATTCCAGGGATGTGGATATCGCCCTTCATCTTGCGGCCATGAGGATGGGAGGGTACCTGCCGTCGAGAACGAGGATCCCCCACTGTATCGATGACGCTCTGAAGACCAGCTTCGTTCAGCATCGACCGAATCGTACGAGTAAGGTTGTCATGCGCCGTGGGAACTTCGGAAGCTTGGAGGATCGGCGTTTGCAGGTCTGGAGATGATGTGCAGCAACGGAGGGATCGAGCTCGCGCTGACATCCATCACATTCCGTCGGACACTGGCAGATCGGCATGCCACTGATGGAGATAGCAGTCGAGCATCTGAGCATAGCGGTGCGGGAAGGCCTTGAGGGGGTAGTAGCTCGAGACTCGCATCGGAGAGTGGCTCAGGTCCGATCACGCTCAGGAAAATGAGCGAAGATGGTCAGCCTGTGAGACTGCAAGACCCTATCCTGCGACTTGAGCGAGTGTGTCCTGCGGCTACACGACGGTAGAGGATCGCTCCAGCATTATGAACGAAGTCGTGCGCCTCAACGAAGAAGGTCGCCAGAGGATGCTTCTGGGCACGGAGAGATCTCGAGCAGTGAACGTCGGCCATAGCGTTGCCGTTCCGTATCCTTGTCGGATCAGTTAACCAGGGTGGTTCTCATAGTAGTTTTAGTCAAATTCAAGCGGCAAGAGAAAATTGAGCTAAAAATGTTGGCTCCGTCAATTTATGTACCTTTTTCGTTGCCAGGGCTGCCGGGCCATCCAAGACGAGAAGGGCAATGTTGAGCAAAACCTTCCTCTATTTGATATGAATAGGCGTGTATAGTTGACTAAATAATCATGAGGAGGCTCGGGGTAGGTATTCAAATGATTTGAATCTTTCCAACGGCCTCCAGCCCGTGTTGAGGGGTAGGGGGTAGTGCAAACTTCTCGTATCAATCTAAAACACTTGTAAACGACCTCACACTTGCCCCGTCTCTTCCCTATCCCACTACTCCCAATGTACTCAGGGACTGTTTGCTCAGCTGCTGAGCGCAGTCAAGGACCATGGCCCCTCAATGCTAACTCCTGAAACTGCCAGGCAAGTACTGAGATCAAACAGCTCAATTCTTGGCTGAGAATCACACCTATAGTAGGTTGAATGTGTAAGGTATGCATCTCATCGAAATTTGCACTTGCGTACCAAAGCACTCATCAGCTATAGGTGATGGTTGTTCACTTCCAGAAGAAGGGAAACATGAAGGGAACCGATCAGAGAAGCAACCTTCGAAGACATGAAGGAAATTCGATTCTCCTTGTTGTGTTGACGCCCTAGCTTCCTTTACCTGAAGGCTTCGTCGGTTGAATAAGAAACATATTTCAAGAGACTTCCTGTTGCTTTGCCATGATTGCGTTTTTTGAGGCTTCTCCCAACCTATTGTAATATGGCGGTGTCATTTGTGAGGAGGTGAGGAGTTTGAGAGGCTGGGGGAAGGAGAGGGGAGGGGTTGGAAGGGAAATGGACGCCTGGGAGGCCAGGCTAGTTGATATGCCTGATCGCTGCGAGAGGAGATGCCGGAGGAGAGACCGTGTTTACTCAAGACCACTAGCGAGGAAGGCAGGAGGGCGAGGAGGACATGAGAGGAGAGGAAGGAGAAAGCTACGGGTAGAGACGGTTTACTTGACAGCACTAATGAGGAAGGGATGCTTCAGAGCCTCCAGTGCTGTAATCCTCGTGCGGGGATCGATGTTGAGGCAGCAGTTGAGGAA